ATCCGTCACGCAATTCAGATCACTCATCGAATCTCCGAAGAAACCAAGCAGAAACTCCCTGTTCCTCCGCGATCTACCAACTGCAATCTCCGTAGATCCATGTCCCATACTCAACCACATTACTATGCTACGAGTATATCTAACATGGTCAGCCTTTATCGAATAGAGAGCTCCGGTTGCGCCGAGCAATCCAAAACAAAGCAGAACAAAGATCAAGGCAGCTCCGTGAAGTCGGCGGCGCGATACCCCCGTATAATAAAAATGGCCTTCAATACCCGGCTGGCCTTTAATACCCGCCTTTACTCTAATGATCCACGCAGTAGCGCCAATAGCATTACTTGTTCACCGAATGACAACATGTGTCGGCATCACTACAAGTGCTTGGTTGATGTCTTTCAGTCTAGGATAACCGCAACCCTCAACGTTTTTATGTGACGTACGGAAGTTCAAAAGTTGTTCCTGTCCGTCTGTAGCACGCCGCCAAGCAAGACACTAGTCAACTCGCGTGTGCAAGGACAACAACTGCCTACTTTGAGAGCTGGAGAGAAAGGACTCAGACACCGTATCACTCTTGTAACCAACCATATACGTATCCCCGCAAGAGAGCATGGAAGGGCCAGCGTCAAAGAGTTGGTTTCAGGATGTCTTCGGGCCAATCGCAACCGCTAGAATTAGGCAACGTACCCTGCTTGGCTGCGGACTCAAATGATTTTTCGGAGCATCTAGCACAAGGTATAGACAACGTAAAGTTTAGTTTGCCCCTTGCTTTTCACCTCTTCCGATATTAACGTCAACAGGGGGGCGTGATCTGCGTGTGGAAGGCGGATGCGAGGGGAAACATGGCCCCATCGGTTCAGTACCGCCGGAAGAACAGCGCAATCACGGCGGCGGTCTTTTGCGGCAGCCCTTCGCACTCCGCTGATGCCTTAGCTCAGGTAACCTCACACAGCTCGTAGTCAACCTGCGTAGGTCTAGAGCGTTTTGTACAGCAGCATACTTGTGAGACTTGCTCCGATACCAACGACTCTACAGGCGTTTGTACCTACGTTTCCGGCGATCACATTATGCTACTGCTGCAGGAGGCCCGACCAGTGTTTTGACGTAGCTCGATTGTCGTCCATTAACGCGAGGCATCTAAGTTCGAGTCACTTGCGCTAGAAACATGGGACTCTCAGTACAGGTCTTAACCCACACCAACATCACCACCTCTATTGGCGGTGGTACCTTGGGATCTTGCGTCTTCCAAGGATTGGCGACATCCGCCCGCTGCCTCAGAAAAGACTCAGTAATTTTGTCTTTCCAGTTCTGTCTTGGGTCGGAGATGGCTCGGTGGAAGTCCAGAGGGCTCAATGCCATAATGTAGGCGACGACATACTACATACATATATTGCGTTCAAATTGGAAGGCTGGTTTTTCGTAACAAACAACCTTTTTGATCGCAACCCAGGCGCCAAACGTGCCAGGTTGGCGGCTGGTCAGCTACGGCCAAAAACGACAGTCCGTTTCCACTCCCCCCTAACAGTTGTTGTTCGCAGCCATCTGGTTTCTGTTCCCTTCTCTCGCCTCCCTTCACCTCCCCTCACCGGCCCACACCAGACCTTGTTTGGGTCTGAGCACTGTCCATACTTTCTGTTTGAGCTTATCGTGGACATAACTGTCACCCCTACCCCCGTCCCTCTCAACAACAAACTCTGTGTTCCCGTTCCCTGACCTCCGTGATTGGAAGGCTTTTTCTCCGTCATTTTTCTTTTCGACGGAGAGCGGGGCTGTCTGCTACGCGGACGATCTTGGTCATTGCTCCGAGGTCCAGCAGCTCACCTCACCGGTGGACAGGCTCATGTTCTACGAGGCTGCCCGGCGGCTCGTGGTCATCACTCGGTCGCTCCTCATGACTCAACTACAGGTACGGGGTTCTCTGTCTCGCCCAGCACAATCATTATTTGATGTGACAAGTTGTCGCAGCGAAGGTTGTTGTTGTTGTTGTTGTTGTTGTTGTTGTTGTTGTTGTTGTTGTTGTTGTTGTTGTTGTTGTTGTTGTTGTCTTCACATTAAAAACCATCCCGGTCTCTCTATCCAGTACCTCCTTCTGTCTCAATCTCTCCGTACTAATCCAGCACCTGACTCGGTCAATTTCCGTGGTCACAGGCTAACGTACCTAGAAAAGGTATACCAAAATACAATGGACCCCAAGGGTTAGCAGAGCGATAAAATACAAGAAAACAAAAGAATCAGAAACAAATAAATAAATAAATAGTGGAACGTGCGCACCACCAGCCTGGGGGGTAGCCTTCCGGAAGGACCCCAAGGGTCAGCAGTACGTGCCAGTAAAACAACAAAACAAAATAAAACGAAATAAACCAAAGACAGACGAGGACATAAACAAACTCGCACAGAGGCAGGGATATCCGTAGAGACAGTCTGAACGCGACAGCAAACGGGGGAGAGGGCAACAGAAAAACTAGTCGCTGAAATTCAACCGCAACATGTCACGTCACGCGGTCGGTCTCTTCTCGCTTGCTTTCTTCCCGCGCCGTTTCCTCCCGCCCCCCTCCCGCCCCGTTGATTGGTGCCGTATCTAGACTATTTTTGGGCCCGCTGTCTCCTCGTT